GAAGAGACTTCCAGAAGAGCTATTTGTCCGAAGTGGTATAGGGCTGTGATGATGAACCTATGGCCTACGTGCTGGAAGTGGCATGCAGAGCCATCTCTCCGGGCACACCAGCCATCATCGCCCATTGCTCTTCCAGGTTCTGACACGCACTGGCCACCTAGTTTTACAGGTTTTTTTTAAGGCGCACGCGTGCACAAATGGGTGGCCGTTGCGCACGCACGTTAGAAACCAGCCGGCCACCTGGTCTTCCGGTTTATAACACGCATGCACGCACAAAGACCAGGTGGCCGGTGCGCATGGGAGCTGCTCCTCTGGTTTACTGGTGCACGCGTGCGTGCCATTTCCAACACTTGGTGTCTTTTTGGCGCGCGCGCGCTCCCGTTTCGCCACTCAGCGCCGAAAAGGTTAACCACCCACCTGGTATAAGGGTCTCCTGTTTGAGCAGAGGGTTGGACTAGATGATCTCCAAGGTCCCTTTCAGCTCTATTCTGACTGATTTCAATCTGACTGAGTGATTGACAGGGAGAAATAATGAACCAGTGGAACAGCTTGCTACCAGAAGTTGTGGGTGCTCCATCGCTGGAGGTCTTCAAGAAGAGATTGGACAACCATTTGTCTGAAAATGGGATAACGTCTCCTGCTTGAGCAGTTGGGGCTGGACTACAAGACCTCCAAGGCCCCTTCCTGCCCTGTTCTGACTGATTGTCTAAGAGTTGCTCTACGGTACCGCTACGGCCTGAAAAACCCAACTGCTAATCTCCCTACAGGAAGGAGGAACCATTTCTGAGGCCGGGATCCATCAGGATCTAAATCAGGAATGTTCAACCTAGCATGGCTGGCTGGGGAATTCTGGGAGCTGAAGTCCACAAGTCAACCCAACAGGACAGACACAGACTCCAGAGAGGAATTAGGACTGCAGAAAAAACAATGGTTACCCACTTGCCTTCCATGGACGACCTGGATATACTCCACGTGTGAAAAAGAGGGCAGTGAAAATATCTACAGAGCCCTCACATCCCGGACAAAAACTGTTTCAACTCCTACCCTCAAAACGACATTATAGAGCCCTGCACACCAGAACAACTAGACACAAGGAGAGTTTTTTCCCCAATGCCATCACTCTGCTAAACAAATAATTCCCTCAACACTGTCAAACTATTTACAAAGTCTGCACTACTATTACTATTAATCTTCTCCTCACTCCCTATCCACCCATCCCCTCCCACTTGTGACTGTGTGACTATAACTTTGTTGCTTGCATCCTCACAATTTATATCGACTGTTTCCTAGTATGAGTTGATTGCTTATTGTACCCTCTGACTATCATTAAGTGTTGTACCTGATGATTCTGGACTCTTGACGAATGTCTCTTCTCTTTTATGTGCATTGAGAGCATTTGCACCAAAGACAAATTTTTGTGTGTTCAATCACACTTGGCCAATAAAGAATTCTATTCTATTCTATTCTATTCTATTCTATTCTATTCTATTCTATTCTATTCTATTCTATTCTGTTCTGTTCTGTTCTGTTCTGTTCTGTTCTGTTCTATTCTATTCTTATTCTATTCCCTATTCTAGTCCCTATTCTAGTCCTAATTATAATTCTATTCTAGTCTAGTATGATTTGATTGCTTATTGTACCCTACGACTATCATTAAGTGTTGCACCTGATGATTCTTGACTCTTGACAAATGTATATTTTCTTTTATGTACACTGAGAGCATTTGCACCAAGACAAATTCCTTGGGTGTCCAATCACACTTGGCCAATAAAGAATTTTATTCTGTTCAATTCAATTCTGTTAAAAGTCGCTGAGGCTGGACAACCTTCTTCTAAATCAAGGTTTTTTTCTCTCCTGCATTTCTGTTCTTTTATAGTTTGCTCTCCGTTACAAACTTCAGGAATCTCAGTCGAGAGAAGTTCACGGCTCTCCGATCCCGGCCATTCCTTCAGGATCATGAAAAGGTCTATTTCTGGTCGAAACCAGGCGAGATGTTCCCCTCTTTTGGCCAAGGCTCTGTATAGATTCTCCAGAGGTCAGGAGGTGGCTCTTTCAATTTGCGTCTGGGTGGAAGTGACAGCCTGTACGTCACTCGCCTCGGTGAAATGGACCCTGGTGTTCTTGGATCGATGAGGACAGCAGGAAGAACTTTCTGAGAAGGGCTATAAAAAAAAAAAAAACCTCCAATTTTTGGCACTTTGAGGAAAGAACGGGATGGTACTCTGCTTCTAAAAGTACAGATTTGGAGCCCAAGTGCCTCTTTATGATTTACCGTTTTAGACATAACGATTCCTCCTCGGGTTTCAGTTCATGCTCCCCTTGCTGGAAAGACAATTCCAAACTGGAGAATAAAAAGAAATTAGTTCCAGAAGGTTCTGCTCTTCCTCTCCGACGCGTCCCGTTTTTCTGCTTTCTTCTTTGCAACTTTTTTTAACCAAATCAAGGCTGCAGTTGGGGAGGGTTGTGCAAAGGAGAAAAGGGTGTAAAATCCACTTCCACCAAGGCGACGCGAAGGGTTGAGTTGTGCCCCATTCCCAGGACATAAGCCACAGCAAAACCTCTTAACCTTGATAAATATATTTTTATTCACAGGATTTCTCCTTTTCTAGGAGGGATAAATTTCCGTTATGATGCTAACTCCCCAGTTTCTGCAAATGCCACATGCTCTCCTAGAGTCTATAGGGAGGGTGGTAGCTCTCTACTCATCGCTAACCGGTTCCAGGAGGCGCAAGGAGTACCAAAAACTAGGAGTTGCAAACACATTCTTCCCGTAATGAATAATGTGGTGAGCCATAAGGCAGCCAGCATTGACAAGTTCTAGCTTGCACACTGAGTACCAAACAAATGATGAGTAGCGGGACATTTTCACATAAAAGTGCACTCGAGTGCCAAATTCTACGAGTTTCAAAGGAGTCGAGTACCAAGGTACTTATATCCAAATACAACACTCTTGAAATTAAACAGCTATTTTTTTAAAAAAACAAACCAGTAAACAAACAGTAAACAATAGTCCAATTCAGGAACCACCAATTCAGATACACAAGCTAATAGCAAATGACAGCCTAATCGAGGGATAACTAAAAATATTCCCACCAATAATGACAGGGCAAGCCCCTTTATATAAAATGACAGCAAATTTTATTTCCTCGTAGCACTGATGATGTTCCCTAGTTGGGTCATGAAACGTCTGCAAGAAAACTGCCAAGCCCAGAGAGCCCTAAGGACCACTCAGTCCTCCTCCTCCTCCTCCTCCTCCTCTTCTTCTTCCTCTTCCTCCTCTCTATGACCTACTCCCTTCTAGCACTGATGATATTCCCTAGTTGGGTCATGAAATGTCTGCAAGGAAACCACCCAGCTCAGAAAGCATCTTCCTTCCTTCCTTCCTTCCTTCCTTCCTTCCTTCCTTCCTTCCTTCCTTCCTTCCTTCCTCCTCTCCACAAACCCCACTCCCTTCTAGCACTGATGATATTCCCTAGTTGGGTCATGAAACATTTGCAAGAAAACCACGCAGCTCAGAGAGCAACAAGGACCCCACAGTAGTTCTCCTCCTTCTCCTTCTCCTCCTCCTCCTCCTCCTCCTCCTCCTC